ATTCCCTCCTGGGTGAAGTGAGGAAAATTCGTGTAAAATGTCTTTCCCAAAGACACAACGTTGGGCGCGCAGCTTGAACTCCCAAACCCGCAACCTCACGATTACGAGCCCGGTAGCGTAACCACTAGGCCACCGACATTGTCACCCTGATATAATACATTATGTATTTTTGTTTTGTTTTAGTAGAGGTTTTACGGCGCTCACAACTGCAAAAGGTTATAATATGAGCGCCAAGGGATGGATGTCAACAGAGAAATCCTTATAGGGAATCAGACTTACTCTGCTCACCTCTCTAGCTTCAACAGCAGAAAGTCAGCTTCGACTATCAAGGCACCCCGAAAATAGCGGGTCACAAGAGTGTGACATACATACAAAAGAAGTAGAGGAAAAATGACGATAGTAAGGATTCAGAAATAAAAATCAGCAGTCTCTTCCGCAGTTCAGGCACAGTTATGAGCATGACATTGATTAATCAACCCATTTACAATTACAATTCTATTGTGCATAGGAACTCGAGATGTAAATGTCCCCCCTTTGGGAATAGCTTAAAGACATTTCAGTCAATAGCACCCCCCCCCCCCCCCCCCCCCCCCCCCCCCCCCCCGGGGAGGGAGGATATTTGTTTTTAGATTTGTATTAAGCTGATGGGGTTTTTTAAAGAAAAGTTTTAAAAAGATATTTCTGGAGTCGTTATATAATTCGACGTTCTTCAACAGTGGCCTGCATAATGGTTTGTGTGCAAGACATTCGTGTCCAGTGTAGTGGATACACCTAGATGGATACCAATTCTTACAATAATTTTACCCTATCTTGTGGGCCGGCAATGTTTTCTAATCAATTGTCTCCTTTCAACTCTTTTCCTGCTCTCTTGCAATGTTCTGTCTTCTGCTTTTGTCTCCACTTTCTGCCCACACCTTTGTTTGCCCCCTCCTTTCCTGCTCTCCAACTGGGTCCTGACTCTTTCTGCAACCTTTCTACTGCTACTCCTTGGCTCCTTCTTACTGCTGTATTTCAGCCACATCACCAAAATCTTCTGGTATGAAAGATCTACACCTAGCCTTCTCCCGTGTGCAAGCTGCGCACGTTAAAGATCCCTTGATGGTCTAAAATCGATATCGGTAGGCTTAGGCAATCACCCGGGGAAAATTCAAAAATTTCCTCTAATCAAGCTTTTTTTGCTGAAGCCATATATATTAGAAATACAATATTTTACTTCACGGAGCCCTATATCTAATGCAAGACGACAGAGGAGAAATTACATGTTTTTAATAAATATTGAATGCCCCCCCCCCCCACCCTAAACCTAATTTTTTTAAAAGACGAAGACGTCACTCTACGTCTCTGATTGTTGTTGCTATTGTTGTTGTTGTTATTGTTGTTATTGTTGTTGATGATGATGATGTTGATGATGATGATGATGATGATGATGATGATGATGATGATGATGATGATGATGATGATGATGATGATGATGATGATGATGATGATGATGATGATGATGATTTGTTGTTTTTGTTACCTTTGAAGCTCTTGTTTATGTCTTGTTCTTGTCGTATTGTCGCTTCCAGTGAGTTCTTGTCGTACACGATGATAGTTCTATATCAGTATTATCAGCAGTTGTGGCTGATTTTTCCACGACAAATCGCTACGGTACCTAAAAAGTTATATCTGACCAGTACCCCATCATCCAGTGCAAGATCTGCAACAGACATCGGCGATCTTGGTTTTCCGTTCATTCCTTTGCTCGGATGCTCTCAAAAAAGCTACGTTTCCCTGATCTTTCCCTGTTACCCATTTGCTCAGTACCAAGTTTTGAGAAATTTGACGTTTAAAAATGTTGAGTTTCACAACATGCCAAGCTTTTTTTAACGCAATTCTTTGAGTATTATTACATGTATTTTGACAACGACTCGGAATATGGCGTCGTGGCCTAGTGGTTAGGCTCTCGGACTCGCAACCGTAAGGTCGTGGGTTGGAATCCCGTCAGGGGCCCGACGTTGTGTCCTTGGGAAAGGCACTTTAC